GCCTCAGGCCTTCAACACACTATTGTCTGTGTCCGTGGCTTGAGAGGAAGAGAGAGAAAGAAACATCAATGATGAAAGAGAGTCACCGATCGGCTGCTTCCTGCACGCCCCCCAGTGGGGATCAAGCCCACAACTGGGGCATGTGCCCTTGACCAGAATCGAACCTGGGACCCTTCAGCCCACAGACGGACGCTCTATCCACTGAGCCAAACCAGCCAGGGCTCTGGATCGATTCTGTTCATTAGATTCCACATATGAGTGAATTCATGTGGTACTTGTCTTTTCTGACTGGCTTATTTCACTTAGCATACTCTTCAGTCCCTCTGTGCTGTTTCAAAGGGTAAGAGATCCTTCTTTTTTACTGCTGCATAGTATTCCACGGTGTAAGTGTACCACAGCTTTTTATCTATTTATCTACACAAAGCGAGCTCGCCCTTTCAAGGGAAACAACGGATGGTATTTGTCGCTAATGACAATAATTTGGGCTTTTGAGTGAAAACGAGAATTCTAGAATGTTTGTATCTGCCATGGTGAGTTTAATAACTTCCCAATGTTTAAAGATTTCCACATATGAGTGAGATCATGTGATACCTGTCTTTTCTGACTGGCTTATGTCACTTAGCATAATACTCTTCAGTCCCTCTGTGCTGTCTCAAAGGGTAAGAGATCCTTCTTTTTTACTGCTGCCTAGTATTCCATGGTGTAGATGTCCCACAGCTTTTTATCCACTCGTCTACACAAAGCGAGCTCGTCCTTTCAAGAGAAACAACAGATGGTATTTATTGCTAATGACAATAATTTGGGCTTTTGAGTGAAAACGAGAATTCTAGAATGTTTGTATCTGCCATGGTGAGTTTAATAACTTCCCAATGTTTAAAGATATTTCAGATGTGATTGGCGGTGACTTTTACAAATGCTGGTGTATTCTTTCTATTGGATAATGAAAATGTGTCAACCTTTGGATGGTCATCATAAGTCAATGAACCAGTGTTTTCCTAAATGGTCAATACGTGATGTTACAAAAGCATGCATGAGTAAAAGAGCCATTCAAAGTCCCTTGTACCATTTAAAGTAACATATTCACAGGTTCTAGGGAATAAGATATGGACATCTTTGGGGACATTATTCTGCCTACCACAAATATGAAACGGTTCTATTTGTCTCACTAAATTATCTACACTAATAAAAGACAAACATGCAAATTGACCATACCTTCTCTATGCCTTAAGCCACACCCACCAGCCCATCAGAGTGACTGTATGCAAATTAACCCAACCAAGATGGCGGCCGGCAGCCACGGAGCTGAAGCAAGCAGGAGGCTTGGTTGCTCCAGTGATGGAGGAAGCCAAGCTTCCCGGCTGGCTCTGAGCTCCACTGAAGGCAACAAAGTTTCAATTATAGAAGGTAACTAAATCCCAGAATAAAAAAAAGAAAAAGAAAAAAAGGAGAGGCTGGGAGCTTCCTCCTCAGCAGCACTAAGGATGTCCGACTGCAGCTTAGGCCTGCTCCCCACTGGCAAGTGGACATCCCCCGAGGGCTCCCGGGCTGCCAGAGGGATGTCTGACTGCCAGCTTGGGCCCCACCCTCCAGGGAGCGGGCCTAAACCAGCAGGTGGTCATCCCCCAAGGGGTCCCAAACTGCGAGAGGGCACAGGCCAGGCTGAGGGACCCCCCCCCCAAGTGCACAAATTTTTGTGCACCGGGCCTCTAGTTTTTTATAAAATGTAGGTCTTCTTGCCCTAGGGCCTAGCCGGTTTGGCTCAGCAGATAGACTGTCAGCCTGTGGACTGAACTGTCCCGGGTTCGATTCCGGTCAAGGGCAGAGAAAAACAACAACAAAACAACAACAACAAATTGTAGTTCTTCTTCATAAAATGTTATGTTAGCAAGTCATTGGTTGTGAATACTTTTGAATAAATTAATATTTTAAATTTCGTAGTTTAATTTCTAATATGGTAAATGTTTATAGATATAATCCACATAAACAAAAGCTCCTTCCGTTTTAAGTCTTCAGTTTTAAGTGTGTAAAGGAGTAGTGAAACCAAAAAGCTTGAGAACTGCTGGCTTCAATTATTGCAATGGTAAGAGCAGACATCACAAAAACTCCTTAAAATCATGTCAAACACCCTCGAGGCCGCCTTAGCTGTCACATAGAAAAAATGCCGTAACGGTGATGCCATTAGGTGAACTGACCAGGCTCCTTCAGGCAATTGCTGGCCGTTCCTAGACGTATGGCAAAGTCCTAGCAAGGCAGGGCTCTTTCTGGGTGTCCTTCAAGCACCCCTTTGCCCATAGTGTCACACATGACCGGGAGTACCCCCTGCTCTGTCACCAGTGCCCATGGCTGGGTTTCGTGCCTGGAAGACTGGCTCTGTCCTGAAACCCTACTGTGAGACATTTCAGACAAGGAAGGTCACGGAATGTGGCTCTGCTTGGCCCAGACGGGAGACACAGAAACCACGCCAGACACACCCCATGGCGTCCCGTGGAAAAGGCCTGATGTTATTAATGCTCATCTAAGCTCCTATTCGTCTCCTGTTCATGACAAGCAAAGCTTCCAACTGCAAAAATGTCTCCCAAATTCTCATTTAAGAAAATCACCAAAAGAAACACCAGAAAAAGGGACAGACAAAAATGAAAATGTCCGTGGGTAATTTTTCTTTCCTTCAAATAAAGAAAAATTACCCACTAACATTTTCATTTTTCTGCATGTCTGTATGTTCTACACAGCATGCAAACTGCATAAGAAAAAATAACTAGTTATTTATAAAGTACCCACCACCAAAAACATAAATGCAGTAAATACACCTTTTTAGGAAAGTTTAAAAAGAAAAATATTGCATGAAGATTGTAAGATGCTGACTGTCAGTCAAATGTATGGGTCAGATCAGGCTGGGCGGTGCTATAGTAACAAGTGGCTTGAAACCAGGAAGGCTGACTGGTATTTATTGCTCATGTGACATGCCCTTCCCAGGTGGGCCGGCCCAGCGTGGGAGCAGCCGCTATCTGGAGCTTGGCTGCATGCAGCTCCTCTCCAGACCTGGCCAGTCACAGGGCCAGTCCTGTGCTCACCAGGACAGAAAGGGGTGACGCAACAGAAGTGAGAGGTGCAGAAAGTTGGTGAAGAGTAACAGGCTGTCATTTCAACGCCAAGCAAACCAAAGCCCCCCTCAAATGCTGGAGAGAGGCCGAGCAAGGAAGACAACTAGCATGTGTCGAGCTGTGCTCCTGTCGCCTTCACCCTTATTTCTCCTTGAATCCTCTCCAGGATCCTCCGAGGAATATCACTGTCTCTTCAAAGATGAGGAACCCAGGCCCAGTGAGGCGAAGTCATTGCCCTGAGTCATGCAGCAAACAAGGGGGAGCGATGGATTGCAAACCCCGATGCATCTGGTTCTCAGTCATGTGGTTCCCACTGCCCACACTGTCCACCCCGCAGTGTTCGGTCTCTAAAATGTGTTAAAAGAAAACACAGCCCTAACCGGTTTGGCTCAGTGGATAGAGCGGCTGCCTGCGGACTGAAGGGTCCCAGGTTCGATTCTGGTCAAGGGCATGTACCTTGGTTGCAGGCACATCCCCAGTGGGGGGCGTGCAGGAGGCAGCTGGTCGATGTTTCTCTCTCATCGATGTTTCTAACTCTCTATCCCTCTCCCTTCCTCTCTGTAAAAAATCAATAAAATATATTTAAAAAGAAAACACAATCCCCCCAGACACCAAAACCTGAAGCAGAGGCCATCCCCTCCCAACCCGAGGTCAGGGCCAGCCAGGCGCTTACTCAGCCCTCGCAGACCAGCACGTGAACAGCAGCTGAGCGTGACGACCTCAAAGGGGAACCACGAGGGGAATGAGCTCGTCAACAATCCCGCAGCCACAGCCCGGCTCCTGCCACTCGGACGGACCGTGTCAGAGGCGGTGCTGCCTCGGGTCATGCGCAGACCCACGCTCCCTCTGCCACGCATGGCCCTGCACCTTGGGAAACACTCTGTGTGCGGGGACCTCCATTGCCACGTGTGTACCCACCATTGAAATGAGACCCATAGAACGTAAAGCACATGTAATTGAGACCCAACACAGGTCCATTCACTATGCCTTCCGTTCTGGCTTTAAAAAGCATCCGGAAAAGGTAGGACCGGGGACCTGAAACGCACTGCCGCCCACGGCGCCGCCAGGGCGAGTTAGAATGCAGGCCCGGCTCCGCGCACCGTCCAGTGTCAGGGTTACCCCG